GGTGTCCAACCCCAGCAGCTCCCAGCTCAGTTCAAACTCACCCAGCTGAGACCCTCCCCACAAGGCCTGTGCTTATCCTACCCGCCAGTTTTCCAGAATCCCACTAAGAACGGAAACAATCAGATTTTATTCATGCTTTACACAGCAGTAATTAGGAGGAGCATAATTAAATGTCTAATCAAAGATTATCCAAGTCTTCCTTTCAGAATGGATTTGCCTCTCTTCTCCCAAGAATCTACCACAAAAGTGTACCCAAGCTCTACATCTGCCTCTACTCCTGCAAGCTGCAAAACACAACACAAAGGTACTATAAACAGCAGAAGTCACAACTTACAAAGCAAATCCAAGCAATCAAAGAATGAGAAACATCAGATTTAAGTGTGCTGTGCCATTCCATCGTGTGCCTTGAGTGCCCAGCTGAAGCATTCATCATGGCAGGACTGGAACACACCCACAGGACACAGCAAGGTGGGAGCAACAGGAGTTATGGATCTCAGCCTTTCTAACTCTTGTCCTTGGCACTGCAATCCCAACACACCTTCTTTTAAACCTGGGAAGGGAAGAGGGGTGGCTCTATCCATTCCCCACAGGGTAAGTACTATTATATACAAATATTTCACTTCTGAACCTTCAACACCAGAACAGGCAAGGACAGAGCCACTGCCCTTAAGGAAAGCCTTTACTTCAGCCCTCACACCAATTCCTCAGGACACACACTACACCGTCCTTGTCTCAGCAGCTCCCATTGCTCCCAGAGTATTTTACTGTATAGAGCGCAACTCAATCACTGTATCTTTATCCAGTTGTTTAAGATAGTTTTTTTCAGATTAAAATGCAACATGCTTACATTTGTAGAGCTCAGCATTGTATTTTAGTCACTGAGGTTGCATTTTAGCCTTCTTTTAGCCATGTAGAAAGTCAGTACTGGTGGAAACTTGCAGTGTGCCTTAAGGATTCTAGGAAACAATTTCTGAAGAATGTATCAGAAAAAGACATGGCCTTCATACCTGGATACCAGCCCAGCTGCTGAAGTTAGAGGAATTTTCAGGGAAAACCTGGTTCGGTTTCCTCCAAAACACCTGTGAGCAAATGACACCCTGGGTATGGAAAGAAAAATCCTGCTGTAGCATCCAGGCTGCAGAAGGGGTCTGGAATCTGAACAGCTCTGTATGTATTGGCCAAGTTGATCTTATTTCAGAACATTTAAAACATTGCCTAATTTTCCCCTCCTCTTTTAAGAGTGGAGAAATTACACAGTTGTCAAGGGGAGAGAACCAAAGAACTTTCAAATTTAGATGAACACTTGGGAGTTTTTCAGACACTCCTTCTTCTAGTTTTAAAAAGAGTAATTCCAAATCTATTTTATGCTCTCCAGCTAGCACTTTCAACACTTCTTAATGAGCTGCCAAAAGGAACTGCCAGCTTTTACAATTTCTTTGGCATTTAATATATTGTATTCTACATCTAGCTGTATAGCTCACAACAGACTTTTCACCACAATCATTATTTAAATTGCATAAACAAATGAACACTGAAAACAATCACTTAGCTGGGTAACTTGTGACACCTGACACAGGTTAAAAATTAGGACAATCTGCAGACCTGTAACCCTGATACCCATAAAGTATGAAGGCCATGTCTTTTTCTGATACATTCCTCATAAGATATTATTTCCTAGAATCCTTGAGGCACACTGCAAGTTTCCACCCCTGCTGACTTTCCACACAGGTAAAAGAAAGTTAAAATGCAAACTCAGTGACTAAAATACAATGCTAAGCTCTACAAATGTAAGCATGTTGCATTTTAATCCAAATAAAACTATCTTAAAATAACTGAATAAAGATACAGTAATTAAGTTGAGCTTAATTACTGTATCTCTACTCAGTACAATATTTTATATTTTATATTATATATATATATTATATATATTACATTTTTTTAATATTTATTTATTTCTCAGTACAGTATTTTATACAGTAAAATACCAACCATCCCACTAATATCAGAAAGAAAAGTTAAAACTCCATAGCCTGGCATGTTCATCCATCCCAAAAAATACTTTGCAGGATCCAGGCAATTAAAGTTTATATTCTGTCTTGAGCTAATGGCACCAGAATTTTCCTGTGTTTCAGTCACAATGGACACCACTGACTCTTGAACATTGATACTCTATACACACAAAAACCTAGCACATTATTTTTGATTAATTTTAAACTTCTTCTGGAAATTTTAATTCACTGAATTCAGCTTTCTGACCACCAGAAAGAAATCCTGAAAGAAAACAGCTTAATTAAAACTCCCTGAAAAAGTTATTTTTCAGTACACACAATTTCCTTTATTTTAGAACTTGATCTCTGAATCAACAAATTATAATGACTACTCAAACAAATAACTGACATTTCTAAAACCTTAGCATAATATTTATCATTGAATGTTTCATTTGGAAAACCAATAAACACTCTCTGGTTTTAAACCATCCACCTAATGAAATAAAAGTCTCATGCGTAGTTCTGATTAGATATACCTTTAGAATTTATATCTTTACAATCTTGTTTTAAGAGGCTGTCAACTACAATTTTTAGAGAACACTCTAAGGTCAAACATATATAAAACATAAGCATAAGATTCTGAAGATCAAATGCACAATCAGGGAAGTTCAAGGTAAATTTCCCAAGGGTAATATTAATTATTTCTTAACCTTGTTAATTACAACAAATACAGAAATTATGCAGTACAGTTTGGGCAGCTACCACTAAGATTTTCAAAGGAGATGAATCCTGGCAAGGTACAGTATCAATATTCTAATCCCCCTACACTAAAATAATCCAAGTTTTGAATTTTGCAAGATATTGATCATTCCTAAGGCCTTGCTGACTTGCTGTGTTCTGAGCCAGTGTTTTAGCAGCAGGCAGTGCAAAGAACACCTACAGTGCAGAGGGGCAGAACCCTGAACAAAACAAACACAACTTCTAATACCTGAATTCTGCAGATCCCAGCTGATCTACAAACACCTGAACATCCTCTCCTCACTGGTTTATTATTATAGAAATCCATCAAGAGGGATTATATCCCTTCTGCAGCATTAACTGCTCCATACAAGCAGAGAGCAGCTGCCTGAGATCAACATGATCCACATTTGCTGTGCACTCATCTTGAGGCTGAGTTTGGGATCCAAACCCAGAGTGAGCCCAGAGCCAAGCAGGGGACCTACATTTCTGCACACTTCCTTCCTGCAGTAAAAAATATTCCTCAGAAATCTTCAAACTACAAACAATTTGTTAATATCTGTTATGAATGCTTCCACAGTGGATTTTAATTCACTATTAACTAATACTGGCCACATAAAAACTAACAGTACACAAGAAAAATAGCTAAAAACTAACATGGATCCCATTCTTGGTACAGTCCCACCACACACCTGTTCTGCATTTACACCATGCACTTGTCTCAGGAGCCACTGCTACAACATCTGCTTGTAGTAATTACCAAAGAAGTGACTGCACTTTGCAAAGAAAGGCCCCAACAACCCAAGACAGATGTACAAATTCAGGAATTGGCTGCAATTTTGTTGTCATCAAACTAGTAAAAAAAAAATCTGTCAACAAACACAGGCTTATCTCTGTGTTTACTTTTCCTGGAATACATTTCTCTTTGAAGGTTTCTACAAGTCTTATTCTTTCAGATACCACAAATTTAAACATTATATGGTGCCTTTTCTGCAAAGAGTTCTTTAACAAATTTCATCCAATACTGCACTTGCCTCTCTTTTGAGAGCATAAAGTTTTTCCAAGTGTTTCCAGGCTTTCATTTATGTCTTTCCTGACCCTGAGCTACAGTCTTCCTAGGTACACTCACTACTAAAACTTACATTCTAGTTGGCTCTGTGATTTATAGATTACCTTGTGTTTCTATTTTCCATTCTCCAAATTTATTCCAGTTTACTTCTTATCTGAAATGTTTATTATTGTTTTCAGTTTTGAATTAAATTCAAAAATCTTTTAACTATAAGTACAGTGCAATACATAAAGCACAAAGAGGGAAAGTAATGAATTGAAAAATATTGGGAAATACCAACTGAACTTATTTCAAGCAACTGAAAAGTTGTAAAGGCATCTTTTTCATCTTTCCACACAGAATTACTGATCTCTTCTGCAAACACACACCTTAGGTAAAACCACCCTAAACTCTGCCTCTTATTGCTATGGCACAGCAGCCCCGCACTAAGATCCAAAGATGTTTGCCTCCACATTTTAGTAAAAAGCTCAGTTCTAGCCTTAAATGGCCCTAGGCTAAATTGCCTCTTTACAAGCTTTTAAACCAATGCAGCCTTCAAAGAAATAAAAAAAAAGGCAAAAAAACCCCCACATAAAAACAAAACACCAAAACCAAACCAAAAAACACAAGAATACCCCACATCCACCCTAGAAGATAAATTAGCTCCAAGTTCAAATCAACACATTCCACTGATAAGTTTGAGACAGGAAACCTATCAAACTATCCTATCAATCCCTAGAAAAAGGGAAATGTACTCGAAACACAGGAAAAACTTTCACTGTAGACAGATCACAACCCAGAAGCAAATTAGAAGAATCAAATCTTTCTTTTGAATAAAGTATATTTTAAAAGTTATTTTAAATTTATTGCAAATCCTTGGATAGAATGTGATTGGCTTTCTCTTTTCTAATGTCCAGTGAAATGAGCTATCCTGGGATTCAGCATGCTGGGATATCACAGTGCCTCTGATTCAGAGCAGCAAGGGACATTTATTAAACCAGTGATACACAAGACTGAGCTTTGCAGCCTCCAATCATCTCTCAGACTCTCTAAAGCAAAATTTTTCCTTAAATAATAATAAAAAAATCCTAGGCCTCATAAAATAAACAACATTTGAATAACTATTTCCTGTTTTCACCACAAAAAGGGCAGGAAAGCACAGTTGCAGGATCATATGAGGTATGTGTAAGACATAATGCATCAAAGGTAAATGAAGCCAGACATACCTGAGCTGTTGAGAGGCGAAACACAGGGCCAGTGGTGGGCACAGAAAGCCTGGGTGACATGTTGGCAGGACCCTGTCCCTGTGTCTGCACCTGGGCCTGCATCTGAGCCTGTGCCAGGGCCTGCTGGGGCACCATGACGAGCTGTCCGGCGTCCGTGCGCACCAGCACCATCCCTGGGGGACAACAACAGTCAGGGACAGCAGGGACACACAGACACAACCTCTGACCACACAGTGCACAGCAGAGGGCATCTATGGCACTGCACAGCACTCCTGGAGTGCATCTCTTCTGGATTCTCGTGTAGCATGAGATTTTATCTCAAAGAACAAAGGGAGCCCCCACTAGCAGACCCAATTCAGTCTGGAATTTAAATAACTGCAGTTTATGGAAAGCAGTGATGAAAGAAGCAGCCACTGGAGTGTTTGGGGGACAGTGATTTCTAGCAGTCTAGTCAGGGTCAGGAGAAGAAAATTAGAAATAAATGCTCATTAAAAGTAAACTCTAAGGACAAGGCAGCTGCTGGGAACACAACTGAGTACAGGCAGACCAGGGACCAAGACTTCCTGCAAGTCTTATTCTTCCAGATACCACAAATAATGTTAAAATTTGTGATATCTGGAAGAATAAGACTTGTCTAAAGACCGGAGAGCTTTACTAAACAACATGCAAATATTGGCCAGACACACTTGGAGCGTACAACATCTGAGATTTCCTTAACCCTGAGCACCAGCAGATGAATGCATTTGGTACCCAGCATCACCACTTTGGGAGGCACTCACTGCCTGTGCTTCAAACACCAACAGCAAACACTGCTAGGCCCGACAACCAACACAACTCAGCACACACAACCACACAGGGCAGAACTTTAGAAAATTGGCAAGTGTTTTCTAACACTTTCTGGAAGTAAATGGTATTTTTTTTTCAGATTCTTTTCTTGTAAAACACCTCACAAATAGAGGCCTTCTACACAACAGAGCCATTGCCATCAAGCAGTGCCCAAAGTTTTGGAGTCAGCAGGTCAGAAAAAGGGAGACAATGGCTAAGCTGGTCCATGGATTCTGGAGTTTCACACATTCAAGGTCACTGCAAAGCATGCAATGTTCTTCTAGTTCTCTCAGAACTAAGAAGCAGTTCTCCAGACAGACTATTAAAAAGAATTTCCAAGTTAGTTCCAGAGTACATTTTAATAATTTAACCTACACAGGATACAACAGGTCAAATAAACAGAAAAACATCTTGTCTGAAACTACTAGAGAACCAAAAACTAAAAACCTATGAAGTCACTTTGAATTGCTGATAACAGGGTCAGCAGACACTGTTCCTACAACCTACCTCTGTGTGCAAATTCCTTCATATACTTTTTTAACTTTTGAAAGGAAAATGAAGAAGGTAAAGTCTTATATCCAATTCTAAAGGTAACAGCTTATATCCAATTTAATTGTTCACTTCCCAGTTACAACACCTTGCTAAAGGACCACAGTTTGTACAATACCCTGAGGATAAAGAAATTCAAACACTCTTATAACAGATTTCAGAACCCTACAGCAAGAAAATCTTTCAGTCTGACATGGAAAAACCAAACCCCAATTGTGGGAAGAGCATGTAGAGAACTGCAGCACACATAAAAGCCTTCACTCACAGAGCTGGGTGCTGCCAGCCAACCTTGCCTGCTACAAACACAAACAGAAGGCAAATTTCTGCCACTATAAACTAAAGACTCATGGCAATCAAGTTTAAGGTAACAGGCATACAGAGCTACAGCAAGGACCACATCCAAAAGCCATAATAATAACTCTCTCAAAGCCAAGAGTAATTTAAATAGAAAGTTGAAAGAAACTCATTAAAAACTCATCTAAAAGGTAACTTTTAAGGTCCATTAGCCATTTAAGCACCAAGCTTCACAGTTTATAGTTGCAGAAAATCCTGCAAGCAGCTGATGTATTTGGTACATGCCATTCCTAAACCATCTGGACACCCGAATATGCCAAGTGGCCAAACGGGTTATCACTACTGTGATCATGACTGTGAACTTTATATAAAAACCCTCATAGGATAATGCCTTCCACACATTAAAAAATACATGTTCTCTCTGCATTACACAGATTCACAGGTGTGTTCTTAATTTATCTTCCCATTTTCTAAACCTAATTCTGAATAGAGAAAAACGGAGTGGAAATGACAAATGAATTGAAACACGTGCCACAAAGTCTCCATCAAATTTCAGGCACAATTACAATATAAATGAATAAATGCTCATGTGTTAACATTGTATTTTAATTCAGTTTGGAGGACTACAAATTCCTGTTACTGAGCAGCTGGTGCAAGTTAGAAGCCAGTTAAATGATGAGATTCATTTTACCTTCCTGTCAGTCACATAAAGATGAAATGCACAACTTAGGAGCATTATCTGCTAAAATAACCTGTTCTCAAAAACTGATTCTAAATTTCTGTTTTATATAGAAGTTTGCTATATGGGAGTTTCAGATTAAGGATAAATGATCCACAAGTTAAAAATGCAAAAGTAACATTGTATTTTTGAATAAATTTCCTTTTAGAACATACTATCTTCATGTTTATGCAAATCTAATGGATTTCCAACTATCTTGTAATAAAACAAATTTGAATTAAAACTTTCTATTTCCTTAACGTTTCTTAAATCCTGAAACAGACTGTTTCTAAGGTTCAGTTTTCCCTCTTCTCTTTAAAAGTAACAGCTCAAAGAATCGACACAATGAACTTGAGAAACTGTGTGCAAAGTTACAATGCACAGCTATCATCTGCACAGAACAATCTTCAGCAGATTAACAAAGGGAGGCAAAGGCTAAGGGCACACAGTCTGGACAGCAACTTATCTGTCTCAAGTTAGTTGGGTCTTCACAAAACCACCAAGATTTTTATGTTTAGAGCAGCAGATTCTGAAGGATTTTTCATAAACTAAGGCCAAATACACAACTATTACATGTGCACTCAGAGGCAAACAACTACACCATAACATTGCTGCTCTACTTAGCTAATAAATATCAAATATTTCAAGAAATAAGTTGGGAGAACTCAGTTATTTCAGACTACATCAATAGGTCCACATCTTAACATGCTATTTATATTAACAGGAAATAAAAGAATTAGCTTAAATGCTATATCAGCTCCTAAATCAAGAAGACATGAAGATACCCAAGTTTTTGCAAGGTGAAAATCTAAGTAGGGGACCACAGCACCCTTCACATGAAACAATACACAGGTTAAGAGTAGGAATCGTGAGGATGGAGGGATGCTGGCTTGGTTAGCTAGCAACCTTGCTAAACTTAAATTTTTAATAATTAAAGTTTAAAAACTTAGGGGACTACAAAGAGGACATGATTGCTTCAGAGTTGGAAATAATATCTGGTGATGTGAAGACTACCCACACACAACAATAACTTTATCAGAGTTACTGAAATTATAAATTTTAGATTACACACATTTAACACCTGGTTCAGAGCAGAAACCATTCTTTCAAGCAGAAAAACTTTTCAAGACTATCAACTGTGAAGCAGAAGTCTTTTAAAACACATATAAAGTTACCCTTAGCATGCACTCCAGCTCCCCGGCTTTTTATGCGCTGTCCAACCACACCATCACAGGGTAACTCACCGTGACCGCCGCTCTCCCCAGGACAAAACCAGCAACTCACCCACAGCAGCTGCAATTACCCAGCATTAGCCGTACCAGTTACACCCTAATTAGCGGCAGCCGCTCCGGCAGACGGTG